TCGGATGAGTCCGTAGAGTCGAGTGGCCCGTACCCAGAGCTTGTTGGCTGCCTCATGTACCTGATGACCTGCACACGACCTGACCTCGCATACCCTCTTAGCATTCTCGCACGCTATGTTGCTCCTGGGAGACACAGACCGGAGCACATGGCTGCAGCGAAGAGGGTGTTGCGTTACTTGTGCAGTACGTCGGGCATGGGGCTTGTGCTTGGAGGGCAGAGTCCAGTGGTCCTCACTGGGCACGCAGACGCTTCTTGGGCTGACGACCAGACTACGCAGCGGTCGTCACAGGGTTACACCTTCAGCCTTGGTTCCGGCTCTGTTTCGTGGCGGGCTACCCGCTCGTCTTCTGTTCTCGGCTCCAGTTGTGAGGCTGAGATCTACGCCGGGGCCATGGCTGCACAGGAGCTTCGCTGGCTCACCTACCTGCTGACTGACCTTGGAGAGCCGCCTAGTTCTCCTCCAGTGCTGTACGTAGACAACAAGGCCATGCTGGCCTTGTGTCGAGAGCAGAGACTGGAGCACAGAACGAAGCACATTGCTCTCCGCTACTTCCTTGCTCGTGAGCTACAGCAGCGTGGTCAGCTGCGGCTTGCGTACGTGGCCTCTCAGGCCAACACTGCTGATATCTTCACCAAGGCACTTGCGCCTTGTGATCATCAGCGCTTCTGTACTCAGCTGGGTCTTGTGCCTACCTTGCCTCACTTGCTCACCCCTTGACCTTGTTTGTACTGTTGCATATATATATACACCTGCTCTTGCTTGTCTAGCCTTATATATATATGTAATCCTGCATGTGAACTGGCCTTGTGGCCTTGAACTTGTGCTCGGAATGTGTGGTGACTTTGTGATCCACCCTGAGCTTGCTTTGCTTTGCTTGACTGGTCTTGTGACCCCTTGTTCTCCCCCACTTTGCCTATGGGGGTGTGTCAGATTTATATGACAGAGCTACTGTAGGCTATAGTGGGGTAGCACATATGGGGTACAGTTTTCTAGGGTTTACATTTGTACCCAACTTTCCCTTGGTCATTCTCATTCCTCGTTTCTTCTCATCATGGAACTCATCAAAACAGAAACTGGTGTCACTTTCCTCGGCTGAAGCAGAATTCATTGCCGCGTGTGCTGCAACTCGAGAAGGACTATACTTACAGGAACTGCTCGACGAAGCAAAGTTCGTCACGCCGAACCAGTTTACGTTGCAGTGCGACAACCAAAGTGCGATTACCATCGCCAACAAACCTGGCTTCGTTAATCGCACGAAACACATCTCACTGCGTTACTTCTTCGTCAAGGACGCGATCGACAAGGGGAGAATGCGTCTTGTCTACTGCTCCACTAATGACATGGCAGCTGATTCACTTACCAAGAAGCTGACATGACAGAAGTTCCATCACTGCAACCAGCTCAGCGGCGTTTCTGAGACAACCGCTTAAACTACACCGAACTCCTAGAAGTGAAGGGGAGTGTTGAGATAATATCGAGACGTAAAGCACTTCAAGGAAATTCGTGTAGTACAGTAAAGTACCGATAGGCTGACGTCAGCAAAGCGCTACGCGACCTAGGATGACGTTGTCAGAATGTTGTATTTGTCTTGCCTGCAGTGGGGTGCTCTATAGCGAGTACAACCCAATCTAGGGTTTCCTATATGTACTCAACTGCTTGCTAGTGAAACCCCTCCTTTCTTCATTCTTACTTTCTACTGCTAGTTCTGACAGACGTCAGCACGTAGCTATAGACTTCGCGAATAGTTACGTACCGTTTCAAGATAAGAATAGCACAGTACAGTAGGCGAACAGGTACTTTTCTCTAGGTATATATTTTTTGTATGTTTGTCATTTTATAATATATCTGATTTCAGAGACATTTTGATCCTGAAACATATCACTACATAGACTTTATCAAAGTCTAGACAAAGCCTTCACAACTGGCTTAACTCATATAAGACTTCCGCTACGACAGGAAGTTACCATCCTAAGTAGTATGATCCTACAAACTCACTTCAAATTCTAACAATGTTTACCCACCCGGGGGTCTTGTATTCCGGGAGGTCTTATATCCGGGAGCTTACGGTATAGGCTTCTTGGAGCATTTCTGTATATGAACTGACTGGCTCAATACTGGAGAGCTTAGCAAGCCCACATGGACAGGAGCCTCATGACACCAAGGGCGAACCAGGAATATTCATTTTTCTTTCATCCCTGAACATAGCGATGAGAGCAAGATGGCCTGTCAGGCTGCACTAACCCCTAACCATAACAACACATGAAAACGCATTGTAAAAAAACAAAAAGGCTCAGCGTCACCACACCAGGCTGGGCCTTCACGGCATGGTGCGTTCACCAACGGATTTCTTGGAATCTATATTTTCGAAACAGGGGATTACTCGGGCTTGAAGTCAGCGAGCACGGGGTGCGACTCCCAGTTGGGGTCGTCGGCGGCGAGGATATCAATGTATTTCTGCATCGCCTCCTCCGCTGACATGCCCTTGATCGCGTTCCACGCGTCCCACTTCTGCCGCGCCTCGAATTGAATGAACAGCGGCTGCCACGCACAACACAAGTGTCGCGAACGGATTAGAATGCGCGTGAAGATCCGTGACGTGCGTTCGCTAAGACGACGTGCATACGTTAATGCGTGATAGGGAGGGTGTGCTAATGAAGCGACTCGTACAGTCGCTAGGAAGGAGCCGTTCTCACGCGGAACAGCGATGCACAAAGGTTTTCCTACCAAGGAACAATTTGAGACATTTCAAAAGTACCTGGGATCCCTTCACGTCGCCCTCGGTGGCCTGCTTGAAGAAGGAGTAGTACTTGAGCTTCTCCTCGGTGGTCGCCTTGGGATTCGGCGGGCCATTGCGGATCAAGTACGCGGCCTTCTTGAATCTAATCTCGAGCTCCGACATGGCGACGAACCTGACGAAGGGGTCTCGGGACGGATCTCGTTCTCGATGCAAGGACTATTGGCAGTGAGAAACCGAGATCGAACCTGACGCTAGAGTGACTGGATGGAAACCCGAAGATAATTTGACTTGTGCTTAACTGGAAGGTGGATTTGCGGGAGGCGGAGAAGGCGGGGGGGAGGGGCACGCAGGAAGGGGTGTTTGTGAGACCGCGTTATGACAGGATGGAGGTGAATGGGGGGAGGACTGGTGCCCCAGGTGTCACCTGGTCCAATCCAATCACGTTCGTGTTCCTCTTGAATCTCGGGGTTGACGGGCCGTCAATCGCGACGGCGTTAGGAGATAACGCGAACTTCGCCTGACACAAACAGGTGTGAGCCTGGGATGTGTCACGGTCTGTTTCGCAAACCGTCGCCGCCGTTACGTGGTGCTTCCAGAGTTCAACCCCGAAAGAAATGCGGATGGTTGGATATTGGGAATGCCGTCCCTCGCAAGATTCGTCATAGTGGCAGTCATGGAGGCGCTCTATAATCTCCGTTAGTTCAATGCTTATGTTTTATTTCCACAACATTGGGCTGGAAGTCTGTCCAGCAACCTGAGGTAACTGCAGCTAATCCTACAGTTGGCAGCCACGGGAAAAGACGGCTGCTTTTAATCTATAGGTTGCCTACACGTTACCAGTACATCATTGCCTTACTAAAATACTTACTCTGATAAAGTACAGGGGTCTGCTGGACCCCACATGTCAACCATCATCTCAGCCATGAATGTACATGCACCTCAAACTCCCAGGACTCGTCTCCAAGGAGGATCATGTCGCCCTCACGGTCCTGGTACACCACAGACGACCCCACTGTCACCTGAGCCACCTCACACCTATGTGGAGAAAGACGCTGGGGCATCCCTGCGTCCTGCGTCCGGACGCAGCGTCCGGACGCAAAGACGCAGGACGCGCGTCCGGACGCAGGACGCACCCTGGAAATTTTTTCGGGCAGACCGAGATTTTTTTTTTTTCGCGATCGCGAAATTGACATTCGCGATTTCGTCGCGAATGTCAATTTCGCCGAAATTCGACACCCCCCAAGCAAATTCGACCCCCAAAACCAGCCATCTAATTCACCCCTAACCCCCTCCCCTTTTTGCAAAATTGATTTGGAAATCCAACCCCTCTCCACCACTCCACAACTAGGAAACCCAACCTTTGTGGTCCACCACCCCCACAAAGCCCATTTAGTTCATGAAACCTCTCATTTGTGCTCCCTTTTCTCACAACCCAATTCTCTTTCAAAAACCCTAGTGGTTTTAGCTCCTTTCCGCGCACCACCGTTATGGCTAGCTCCTTGTGTTCGCGACCTTGTGTTCGTTGCGCACAACTGGAACGTTGTGCACAACCACCACAAGGGTGCGGCGGGTGCGGGGCCGAGTGGGGAAGTCAGGAAGGCGGGAATAGTGGAGGGGAACATTCCCCCCCGACCCCTTCCCGAGGGGTACAAGCTTGAGGAGGATGGAGAGGTGGAGGTGGATGAGGATGACCTCACCTTCGACGAGTACAAGGAGCAGGAGGATTTGGAGAAGGAGGAGGAGAAAGGGATGGAGAGCGAGGAGGATGAGTGATGCATGTTAGTTAGTGGTAGTATGCATGCATGCTAAACAACCCTTGGACTAATTGTGATTATGGAAATTTGGGGCTCACCTTCATGTTCTATTGTTGTGGCTGAAATTTTGTTGTTGAGGAGAAATTTTGCTATGAAAGTGTGTTCCCCCCCCCCCCCCCCCCCTCTTACCCCCTCTTCCATCTGCCCTATAACTTTTTTTTGGCTGCCCGGGGGTTTTTTTTGGCTGCCCGGACCTGCGTCTTTTGCTGCGTCTCGGGGGCCCTAAACTAGCGTCCAGCGTCTGGACGCATGCGTCCAGGACGCTGGACGCGTCTTTCTCCACATAGCCTCACACGCCATCTGGTCACCGGCGGATGTACATGCGGTGCGCCGATTTCAAAAAAAACTCCCAGGACTCATTTCCCAGGAGGATCATGTCGCCCTCATGGTCCTGATACACCACAGACGACCCCTCTGTGACCTGAGCCACCTTACAAGCTACTGGTTCACCGGCGGATGTACATCCGCCGAACGGATTTCAAAAAGAACTCCCATGACTCGTCGCCCAGCAGAATCATATCCCCCTCGCGGTCCTGGTACACCACAGACGACCCCTCTGTCACCGACAGCAGTGCCTCCCTCAGCTCCTGCGTCGACTGGAACCGACTCAGATCCACCGACACACCAAACGGTGACCCCTCTACAAAGCACTTCACTCTCAAGCTCTCCTCTCCCCCGGCGCCTCCGCCTCCCCCTCCTCCCCCTGCCGCTCCGCCCCGCGCGCCCGCTCCCCCTGCATTATCCGCCATGCTCCCTACCCCCATGCCTGCTGCGTCTGCTGACCCTGACAGCCCCCCCAATCCCCCTCCGCCTGCCCCTGCCCCATCCCCCGTGCCCCCCATCATGCCCGTGCCTGCTGCACCAGGGGAGGAGTTGCCTGAGCGTTCAGGGCCCAAACTAGAAGGGGGCGACCCCCCTCTGCCCCCTAAACCACCACCACCACCACCTCCGCCGCCTCCTGCTGTCCCTGCGCCGCCTGCTGCTCCACCTGCTGCTCCCATGCTCCCTGTTCCCATGAACCCCCCTCGTGACTGCTGCTGCATCTGCGGCATCTGCTGGTTCTGCTGCTGGTTGTGCTGTTGCTGGTGCTGGTAGAACGGAGAGCCGCCAGAAGCCTCCCTACCACCATCACCAAGCCCACTCATCCGCGCACCCATCAACCCCCCCAGCCCTACACCACCTCCCCCAAAACCCCCGCCTCCACCCCCGCCAGCAGCCGCACTGCCAGCAGCAGCAAGAGAGGCCATGCGCTTCCCTCCGCCCATGCCTGACGCCATGGATGCGCCATCGTCCGCGCCCCCGTCCCCCACGTCCCCCCGACTCCCTGACGGCTCTGCCGAATCCTCTGGTGCTGCCCGCTTCCTCCCCGCCAGCCCCCCCGCCCCTCCGTAGCCCCCCGGGCGGGTGCCACCCAGGGGAGGTAGTGACTGCGGCATGTGGAAGAGGGGCGGGTGGAGGGAGGGGGGAGGTTGGGAGGGACCGCCCTGGTCCCATGCTGCCTCTTGCCCGTGACCGTCTGTATTCATTCCCCCCATCCCGCCCATTCCCCCGATTCCTCCACCTGGCGCTCCTGCCCCCGCTGTTCCAGGCGCTACTAGCAACGACGGCGCGCCCATCCCCCCCGTGGCGCCCGCACCGCCGTCCCCATGCGACGCCGCCCCGCCGTGCGCATCACCGGCTTTGTCTGTAGCGGAGGAGGAGATGCGCATGGCCTGCTGCTGCGCGAGCAGGGCGGCAATGGACGACACGATCTGGTCCCTCGACAGCCCCGCCGCTAATCCCTTTGCCACTGCAGCATTCACCAGCTGCTCTTGTACTGATCCCTTCACCACCCCCGGGACTATCTCGCTCACTGCCCCCTCGCCCTCCATTGCACCCCCCCCCTGCCCCTGCCCCTGCTGTAACGGATGGTCCTCCTCGTCCTCCTCTTCCTCCTCTAGTTCCTCCTCTTTCTGCTCCTGCTGCTGCAGCGGCGCCTGTTGCTGTTGCTGCTGCTGCTGCTGCTGCTTCTGACGTTGAATCTGCTGGATGTGGGAGAGCAGCACGGCAGGGGTCAGCCCACCCTGACCTGTCACTGACGTCAGCAGTGACGCCAGCTGCGCCACGCCCGACGGGCCCAGCTGTGCTAGAAGCGACGCAGGAAGCTTCGCTGCAGTCAGCGCCGCGAGATTGCTCGCCCCTAACTTCCCCTGCTCCGCCCCGCCCCCTCCCCCCCCCCCGCCTACACTCCCCACCTCCCCATCCATACTATCCTCCCCCTCGTCCCGCCCATACCCCCCCCCTTCCGCTCTCCGCTGCCCGCCCCCACCAAACCCCCCATACCCCCCGCCCGCCTGGCGGGGCGGGGAAGGCCTCCGCCAGGACCTCCCCTGCAGCCCCATGGGGTCGTCTTGCGCCCCATCCGCGGAGCCCAGCGCGGCTCCCGCGCCCCCGCTGGATGCGGCGGCGGAGGGCGCGAAGCCCTGCGCGGGGCGGCGGCGGAAGCCTATAAAGAGGTCCCCCGCGGTGCCCCGGTGGAAGTAGACGATGTCCCCCGGGACGAGCAGCTTTTCCTTGACAAAGCGGCTCCACCCCTTGGTCAGCACGTAGCTCTGACTGCTGTTCCAGTACGAGTACCTGGGGGGACGAAGGAAGAGGAGAGGGAGCGGGAGGAAGAAAGAAAGGGGGGAAGGGGGGGTGAGGGGGTTTGGTGTGGTGAGCAGAGGCATGGAGAAGTCGGAAGGTGGGGGAAGAGGGCGCAGATGCGATGAAAGGCGCAGATGCGATGAAGGGCGCAGATGCGATGACGGGCGCAGATGCGATGAAGGGCGCAGATACGATGAAGGGCGCAGATGCGATGAAGGGCGCAGATGCGATGAAGGGCGCAGATGCGATGAAGGGTGCGCGACGAGTAATGGAATAGGCTGGAATTGAGGGGCACACGGAGGAACAGATAGCAGGCGAACTACAGGCGCGGCGAAGGCTATGGCTTCGTGTATGGCAGAGGCAGCAGCAGCAGCTGTGGCTGTGGCTGAGAGTCGTACCGGAAGCGCCAGTGTTTGCCCGCCTCGTCCTCAAACGAGAGCGGCGTGGCGGGGTTGGGCAGGTTGGGGTCGAGATGTGTTTTGAATCACCACAAAACTCACTATCGAGTTGACTCAAAACTCACCGGAAGCGCCAGTGTTTGCCAGCTTCGTCCTCAAAGGAGAGCGTCATGGCGGGCGTGGGCAGGTTGGGGTCGAGCGGGAAGCAGCGCTCCGCGTGCTGCTTGGGAATCACCAGCCGATTCAGCTTCCCCACGTCGCTGGGCGTCACCGCCTTCTCAAACAGATGCTCCTTCCCCGCCATGCTCACGCCCCCCCCGCTCCCGCCGCCTCCGCCCATCGTTCCGCCCATGCCTCCCCCCATCGATCCTGCCATTGCGCCTCCCCCGGTTGCCCCCATCACCTGCCCGCCGCCTCCGCCATACCCGCCTGGTCCCGCTCCTCCCCCTGCTCCGCCCCCTCCTCCATGGAACCCCCCTCTGCCTGACTGCGCCGCGTCCGCAGCGGGGAACCCCAGTTCCCGCCCACCGCCCATTCCCGCGCCTGCGGGAGCGCCCGCGCTCCCAACGATGCGGAGGGGCGTCCCCGCGCCGTCTTGCGCGGGGCGACCTGGGCCGAGCGGCGCAGAGGGGGAGGAACCGGCGGGGAAGGCGGGGGACGCGGGGTGGAGATGCGCGGATGGCGGAAGCGAGAGCGGAGAATGTCCGGGGTAAGGGGGGTCGTGGGGATGCGCCTGCCCCTGCGCCGGCAGCATCAGCGCGCCCTGCCCCTGCCCATGCTGCGCGGAAGGCGCGGGGAGCGCGAGCGCGTGCGCGTTGGGCGGTGCAGGCGGAGACGTGACGGCTTCCGCGAGGTTCGCGTTGGCGAGCTCCTCGTCGAACGTGTGCTTGCGCAGCATGTCCACCAGCTGCGCGCAGGGAGGGGGGGAGAAGCGGAGAAGCGGGGAAAAAGTGGGGGGTGCATGTTAACTCTGGAGTCGACTCAAAAGTCCGTTCTCGAATGTGTGCTTGCGCAGCATGTCCACCAGCTGCGCGCGGGGACGGGGGTTTGGATGGGGGAGAGTGGCGGGGATGGGCGCAGGAGAAAGGGGAAGAATCAGACGACATACGACATGGGGGAAGAGAGATGGCGCATGGCGCAGGGTGCAAAGCGGGACGAGGGCAGGGAAATTTGACTGAGGGGGCAGGGTAACGGAGGAGAGAGCGGGTGCAAAGAAAGAGAGAGGAAAGTGAGGATAGCCCCATGAAAGGCGGAGCAGAAACACGACAGGCGGGTGAGGGCGGATGCGGGGAGCAATGATCAAACCAGGCAGATCGAGAGGCGGAAGAAGCGCGGTGGGTAGATGCCGGGGGGAGGAGGCGGAGGGGAGGAAGTGAGGGGGAGGAGCGCCGCGGGAGGAGCGCGGGGGGAGGAGGCCGGAGGGAGGGGGGCGGGGGGCGGAGCATGTGGGAGCGGGAGCGGCGAGTGAGGGGCGGCGCACCTTCTCTTTGGGCTGCGACATGATGAAGCAGATCTCGGGGTGCGACTCGGGCATCGGCCGAAAGTTCGTCATCGCATCCCTCCCTCGGAACTTGAGCGCGGCGCGGTCGTACGCGCGCGCCGCGTCTTCCTCGCCGTTGAACGTGCCGAGCCACACGCGGCTGTGTTTCTCGTAGATCTGCGCGCCCCACCGCCCGTTCGGCTGCGGCACCACCCCGCGGTACTGCGAAGACAGCATGCGACTCGCTTCCTTCTCCACTCCCTCTTCCGAATCCTCGTCCTCTCCGCCATCCCCGCCGTCTCCGCCCATCCCGTCCGACCCTTCCCCGCCCGCCCCGCCGTTCCCCGGTCTCTCTTCCGCGAAAGAGTCGGCTCCGCGCCCCGCTGCCGCTTCTCCGCCGGCTGGCTCCGCTGCGACCTGCGCGGGGCTGTTGATTACCGCCGCTGCGGGCGCTATATCCTGCGCGCCAGGGGTGGGAGTCAGCTGGCGGCTTGCGCCTAGCCCTTGCCCCTGCTCTTGCCCTTGCCCATGCGCTTGCCCATGCCCTTGCCCATGCGCTTGCCCATGCGCTTGCCCATGCGCTTGCCCCTGTGCATGTTGATGTTCGTTATCGCTGCTTCGCTGGTCGCGCTCATTGCTGTATCCCGCCAATACAATCTTCTCCGCATTCTCCTCCGCGTGCGCCACCGCTCCCGCTACCGGTGCGGTGTTCGCCTGCGCAGCTGGCGTACTGGAATTTCCGCCCATTCCGCCCTCCGCTCCTTCCCCTTCACCTTCCCCTGCCCTTTTGACAAAGCCCCCATTCGCGTCCCCCTCGGTCGGGAGCGCTGTCCCATTCCCGCCCTCCTGCCCTGTCTGCTCCGCTCCGCCTGCCTCCTTATCTCCGCCACGCGCGACATTCGCCCCTTCGCCGGATTTCCCCGCTCCCCCCCCACCATCCGCCGCCTCATGGTCATTTCGCCCAGTGTCCGCTATAGCATGCCCCGTTTGCGATACATGTCCCGTGTCTCCAGCATTATCCCCTGCGCCATCTGCGCCCAACTCGCTGCGGCCGTGTTCCGCCTGCTCCCCCTGGGCTTCTCTTTGAGGTTCTCCCGCCTGTACGGCGGGAGAACCCAACACACTTCCCCCTTGACCGTCAGGCGCAGCTACAGCGGGGGAATTGGGCGCAACTGCGGGGGAGTTGGGCGCAAGTGTGGGGGACTTGGGCGGCGCCCGCGCGGCGGCGAGGGCCTGCAGGTGCTGTAGGCGCTGCCCCACGCGGGATACCAAATCGTCCGTCAACTCCATTCCCCCGCCCCCGCTGCCGCTACTGTCCTCATCGCGTAGCGACGCCAGTGCCGCCTTTAACAAATCCTTGTCAAACCCCGCCGGTAGACTGTCCATTATTGACTAGCGTGGCTCGATTGGACCGAGTATAGGGATAAGCCGTATACAAATTTAAATTAATCGCGGAAAGCGTGATGGTTCAATCCACGATGTGACATCATCAAGATAATACCTCCTCGCAGGCCGTAGTCTGAACCTGAAGGAGCGGGGGGAGGTAAGAAGAGGGGAGAAAGGTGTGGTGGCAGAGAGAAAAGAATGGCACGAGTTAGGAAGATACGGAAAGAGCGACGTAACGATAAGAACAGGACAAGGACTGGAAAAGGAGGCGTCGACTAATAAGGCCGAATGACTGCGACCGTAATGGCGCGAACGAAAAGCAAGAGATGCTAACACTGAACAACAAGGCGAAGCTTGTTAGCTGATAAACACTAAACGTAATCGTGAGGATAAGTTCAGTCGAGAGACGCAACCCTAGAAGACTGCAACAAACGACATAACGGATGCACTAGGACGGCAAATCACTCTCAAAACGGAGGACAGACCAACGGCGGTTTACACGGGAAAAAATGGATGGCATGTGATTCAAGTGCCTGACCTCTAGCTTCAACATGGCAGCTAGGCTCCAAGCAGCAGAACCGAGACCGAAAGGCAACAATCGATCGTTGCGATGAAGGTAGGTCACCTGGAACAGCAGGTAGGGTTTCGAGCGCATGTGAAATAGGAGCTGGGCTGGGAGCCTGGGAGGCGAAGCACCTGCCACCTGACTCCTGAGAGAAGACGCAGCAACAGATGCCCAACATGACGCCTGCTCGCCCCGCCTGGCTGCCTGGATTCTGGTTCGTTTCAGTGCGGATACGCGGATGAATGGGCTTGATGCATGGCGGGACGGGCAGGGGTTTGGCGCGCCAGGGCGGAGCAATGCGGGCGGACGCAAAGGCACAGCGATCAAGTCGAAGATCAGGTTTGCGCCCTTGGAATCACTCTTGCGACTACTTTCAACGCAGTATTGTGGGTTATTGAAATCTCTTGCGTGGTGGAATGTGGTGTCATGTCAATCGTGGGCGTCTAGGTGCGCAAGAGCAGCTCTGCACACTCTGCACCAGGTGTGCCATTTGTATAACAGCCCGCCAAGGCGGAGCCTTCCCCCGAACCGAACCCTATCCCTCGCTTTTCCCGCTGCTTGCTCAGCCACGTATGTCGCCTAACAAGGAACAGTCACTCCCTTTTGCGTCCTCCTTCCTGACGCAAGCAGGCCCGTGATAGGTCAGCAACCGCGGCTCAACAATCAAGTGATAGGGTTGACGCTGGTGCCACGTCAGTTCTGCTGGCACACTACAAATTGTATGTTAAGTTCAAACCACATCTGCGACATCTCCAATATATCACGTATACTAGAATTATGAAATCCATAACTGTATATATGTTACGGGTGCAATGAATCTACCTGTAGGTAGCGAGGATTGCACTAGAGTGTTCAACGAGTACAAAAAATGAGCGAAGGCATGAGCGAATACTTATGTGCGAAAACATGCAACGGTTACGCGGTGCGTGCGAGCTAGCTAGTGCTACGCAAGCATGGAGGTTCGGGCTAGTCCCGAAGCGTAGGCCGACTTGGCTGGGCCAGCGATGCAAGGTTTGGTGAAACAGTGCGCGCGAAGTTGGCAAAGCCCCGTTAGCAGTAATGGGCGAACAACGGATGCTGCTGTACGCGATGTTGATGGTCGCGATAAGGAATGTCGATAAAATTCATTACAATATATCATATAAGGGCATGTTCCTACAACCCCTTATCAGGTGTTAGGCTGAAAAACCCTTTAGGATCTTTGCAGGGGTGAACTCTGGGTAGAGTTGGTGTAGTAGCGGAAGCGTTAATTAAAGAGTTGTGAACCACCTTGCACTAGTATGTGAGGGCAAAGTAAGTTGATGATAATAAAAGAGATACAAGCTTTTATAAGAACACAAAGGAATATGAAGAGATACAGTTAACTGTTTTACTGTTGCTGTTGCGGTTCGATACAGTGTCGACTCGGGCAACTGCTCAGTATCGAGACAGTTGGTTGTCCTTGCTGTCGCGCTGCATTTGTCAGGTCAAAGGTCGCTGACCTTTGACTTTCGCGTAACCTCTAACAGTTATTCAACCTCCGAGGGTTGACTCACCGATATTTCGATACGAGCTACTTCGCTTCTGTCTTGGTGTTTCGACACGACAGAGGCGCCTAAATCAGTCGTTTCCAACACTCCCCTTCGCTTCTGGAGTGTCGCTGACGTGGCTCTGTCCAGTCAGCAACATGCAGTATTCGAACTTCTGTTTTCCGAGCTTCTTGGTCAGGTAGTCAGCTGCCATCTCAGACGTGGGACAGTATGACAGCTCGAGCCTTCCCTTCTCGATCTCATCATTCACGAAGAAATACCGCAGGGCGATGTGTTTCGTCCTGTTTGCGAAGCCGTTCTTGTTGGCGATGCGAATTGCTGACTGGTTGTCGCAGAACAGGGTAAAGTTGGGTAACTCGGCTAACTTCGCTTCTTCCAGCAGCTCGCGAAGATAGAGTCCTTCCTTGGTGGCTGAGCAGAGTGCAATATATTCTACTTCAGCTGACGAGAGGGCAATTAATTCCTGCTTGCTCGACTGCCAAGAGATAGGTCCGATAGGTTCGAGGCGGTAGATGTAGCCGGTGCGGGAGCGCCTATTGTCGGAGTCGCCAGCGTGATCAGCGTCGACGTAGCCGATTAACTTAGTCGGTGTGGTTGCGTTCTTGTAGTAAGTTAGGCCGATCGTTGGGGTGCTGACGAAGTAGTGAAGAGCGCGGTCGAGCTCCGCCAGATGTTCTGCTTCAGGCTTCTTGAGGTAGGTGGCGAGCTGGCTTGCGGAGTATGAGAGGTCGGGGCGACATGTGACGGCTGCGAAGAGAAGACATCCCAGCTTCTTCTGGTAGTCTCGTATGCCGGCGGGCTTGAGTAGAGCGGAGCTTCCTTTGTCGTTCCCTGCCGTGTAGCGGTATGGCGTGGAGATGGCTGTCGGAGTGAGCGTAAAGCGTTTGGCGATGGTGTCGGCATATTTCTCGGCGCTGAGGTAGATCGCGTCCTCCTCTTCCCGGATGTTGAGGCCGAGGTACTGAGTGACGGTAGATGAAACTGTGAGCGTGAGATCTCGCTGCAGCTCCCCTTCGAACCACGTAGTGATGCCGTCATTCGAGCCGATGTAAAGGAGATCGTCCACGTAGACGATTAGTAGGATGTAGTCGTCGTTTTTTGTGAGCCGGTACATGCCTTGATCGTGCGGTAGTTGCTTGAAGCCGATGCGGATGAGGCGAGTGTGCAGGTACTGTTGCCACAGTCGCGGAGCCTGCTTGATGCCGTAGAGTGACTTGAGTAGCTGGCAGACTTGGTTGGGTTCTCTGTGGGAGCCGTGCGGTAGCTCGACGAAAATTTCTGCATCAACAGGTGCGTAGAGAAACGCGTTCGCGACGTCAATTTGTCGCAGCTTCTTCTTCTTCATGGCGGCGATTGCGAGGAGAATGCGTAGTGAGGTGTGGCGGCTAACCGGAGCGAAAGTTTCGGTGAAGTCGCGTCCGTGTTCTTGGTCGAAGCCGCGTACAACCCAGCGAGCCTTAAATTTGTCAATGGTGCCGTCAGCCTTTGTCTTCACACGGAAGACCCACTTCCCGGTGAGCACTGTCTTGTTCCGTGCCACGCCGATAGGAACCACTTTCCACGTGTTGCGTTCCTCCAGTGCCTTCAGCTCCTTGTCCATGGCTTCGCGCCATTTTTCCTTATGCTCCCCCCCCAGAGCCTGTTGAACCGTCGCAGGCTCTTTAGGAATGGCGGTGCCGTGGACTGCGGTGACGAGTCCGAGAATTTGCAGTCCACTCTGTGAGTAGCGGGGAAGATTTGCGTCCTCGGGATAAGCTGCTTCATCTCCCGCTTCTGGATCAGGTATGAAGTTGGGTCCTACTCGTTCTGCTTCGTTGGTGTTGACTGTCACAGGTGTTACGTAACCGTTGTCGGCGAAATAGTAGAAGGTTTCGGCGTTGACACTTTCGCGAGGGTTATCTTCGTCCATGGGAACGTCCACGGAGCAGAACGGAAGAGGTCCGGCTTCTTCTGATGCGTTGTCCACATTCTGCTCGTCCAGTCAGCTTCGTCCGTTGCTGAGGCGAAGGCTCGGTCACCGCGAAAACCACCTGTGGGATCCTGGACTTCTTGCAGGTTGGCAAGGTATGTCTGGAGCGTGAGTCGTTCGTAGAAAATTACATCACGTGCTGCTACTGTTTCCTTGGAATGGACGTCGAAGATTTTCCACGCGTTGTAGTTCTTTTCGATTCCCAGGTGTAGTCCCCACTGTGCTCGTTGAGAAAATTGGCCCGCTCGTGCTGCTGGGGGTCGGTACTGTACCATGCATCCGAATATTCGTAACATTTTTGTGCTGCCCTGTTTTCCTGTCCATAGCAGATGCGGTGATGCGTTGTTTGGAAGCGATGATGACGAGAGCAAGTTGTGCAGCATGACGGCGTGGTCCATTGCCGCAGGCCACTGGTGGTTGGGTAGCCGCATGCCACGTAACAGTTTGCGCATGCTGTTCTGCAAGGTCCTGTTCATTCTTTCTGCTACACCTTGCTGCTGATGGGCGTAGGGAAGGGAGATGAGCCGCTTGATTCCCCTTTCCGCCAGGTACTGCTTGAATCGCTGAGAGGTGTATTCTCCTCCTCCGTCTGACTGGAAGCTTTTCAGTTTCACGCCCGATTCTCTCTCTGCTACTGGTAGCCAGGCAACGAAGGCTGCGAATGCCATGTCGCGGCTAGGGAGGTTTAGGTGCCAGACGTAACGGGTGGCGGCGTCGATGAAGGTGATTGTATAGTTGTATATTACTTGTCCTGGTTCCTGATTGTACAGGATGTCGCTATACACCTTCTCGAGGTGTGCGTACGCGGGTGCGCTCGGGTTGTGATGAGACGCAAACGGTCGATGTGGTAAGTCACCTTCAGGGCAGGTGAAGCACGTTCCGCGTACTCGTTGAAGTTCTCGTCCGTCGGTCAGTAGGAGTGAGTCCTTGTCGAGTA